TATTACTGTAGACGTCCACACAAAATAGTAAATGTTAATTTTTTATTGATCTCTAATTAGACTTAAGCGACGACAGTTATGGGACTGTGGTCAATATGAGTATGGATCAGGATACCTCTTCGCCTCACAGTGGTGTGGGTCGTCCTCATCCGTTCCTTCACGGGTCCACTTCGCCGTCTTATCTTCCGGGTCACACTCCACCACAAGGTCACGACCACTTCCCTTATTCGGATCAACTGTCTGTTTACGCCCCTCTTGGTAAGAGAAAGTCATCAACCATTTTTCTTAAACGATTCGATGGACTTATTGTTACAGGCCAAGGTCCTCCACCAGGAATTGGGATTCCTCACGGCATTCCCGCAAACGGTGATACAGATATTAGTAACGATAGCAGTCCCCGGGGATACCCTGACTTCCCTCCAAGTCCCGACTCGTGGTTGGGTGAACCGTCCAGCGCACATTACTGACCCAGCCATACCAAAATTCCCATCAATCATCATCCAAACCATTCTCGATGACACCGCTTTATTTATACTAACAATAATAACAATTTAAATCAGCACACGCATTATACCGCACAACAGTTGCGTCTTTTGGTTTCTAACACTTCAACGACGCCTCCGTTTGGATTAATTGGATAAATATCCAAATTGCCCGTAACACTTGAATGAAGATTTTACAAGGACCATTTTCAGTCGCTAGTGCAACCCAATTTTCTTTACTTTCTACCGGACTCATAGCTACTTTTTCAATTCTGTGCAAGGATTTGTTCGTTCTTGACGTTTCCGAAGGCATGTTCAAAAAGAAATGCCTAAATAAAGACCATTATGCCTTAACATTGATATAAAAATGCGGGGATAATTCGAAAGATTGAGTATTTGGATATCAGAAGTATAGCATCATTAATACTCGAGTCAAAAAATTGTGACTCATTTTGTCCTCATTTGATCTCAATAGAATTTTTAGAGATATTTCAAACTACAAGACTCAAAAGTCTCATTTTATCCGCGGTTTTCCCGTATCAGGACAAAATGAGACTTTTGAGGAGTAAAGATTATTTAGGAAACCTCATTTTGTCTTCAAAAAGTCTCATTCTTTTCTTGTTGAGGTTAAATTGAGGACTATTGCCATAGGATTGCAGACATTGAGAATAAAATGAGACTTTTTAGAATCCAATGTGATGAGTCTTATGAAAACTTATTGAGGTATCTGAGATTAAAAACGTCTAAATGAGGAAAAAATGAGTCTAAATAGTTCATTTGAGGATAAAATGAGTCCCAATTTTTCGACTCGGGTA